AGCACGAAGCGCTTACAATGTGCGCATCCGGTGTGCAGAATGATACACAAAGTAAATTTTAAAAAAAACAATTTATAGTCTTTTCTACGCCCGTGTTTTGTTCTCACAGACACCCGGTAGCAAGTAACAAAACAACATTAAACTCCAGCAAGAAGATAAAGTCCTTTTTGCAAAATCATAGACATGTATTTACAAATCAAGTATAATGGGAACACAGAATGATCTTGGAGAGAGCTTTACCGAGCTGACTGCTGTAACCGAACGCGACCAGGGTTTAAAGGCTGAACGAATGACTGACAGCCACAGTGGAGAAAAGAGTTTGTGTGAACTTTAATGTAAGGACTTAAATATTCATATGTAGCTCACATTAAGCTATCGTATGGCTTCAGAAGTAAAACAGAATAATTCGCACAATCAGGGAAAAAAATAAAATAAATAAATCTCGGATTTGGATCGGCCCTCTCTGACCGATACCCGATCCGAGAAAAATGGCACTATCGGAGCCGATACCCGATATGAATATCGGATCGGCGCATCCCTAAAAAAATGACATTTTTGAAGTGTTATTAATTGTAACTTTTTAGATAGGGATGGGTCACAAAGGTCAGCGTTTCATCCAAAAACCAACTTTTCAACCATTATTCCTATCCAAGACACCATGATAGAACCATACATTACTTATTGTTAGTGTTTCTTGCAGTTTTTTTTATGTTAAATTATTGTTATGCATCATAAAAAAAGGTTTCGCTGCCTTTGTTAAATAGATAAATAAATTTGATAAATTCCCTGATTAGAATCTCCATTGCAAATTTTTTTTCAGGAGAGGTGTGTTTGTCTTGATGAATCTCTGCTGAATCTCAGTGTTTTCCTCAGAGGAGTTTATGTCGAAGTTGTGATAGCTGCAGGCTCACACCTTTGTCAAACGTTTAAGTTGCGATTGTTATGCTGTGTCAGAGCGAAATGCCAAATGCATGTGTGATGACTGTGATCATTCACAAATCTAGACTTATGATTAACCCAGAAACTCTTTATCACCTCCGCTCCTCTTTTATTCAGCGCAAATAACATTATTGCCACACTTATGCTTTTTCTGTCTGTCTCATCTATTTCAGAACCACCCCTCTCTGCTTTAATATGGAGTGAGAAATTAACACCTCTGAAATTACTTTATTTAACTGTTGGCATCCTCTGGGATGGTTAGCACTTATTAAAGTAAATCAGAAATGTTTCACATGGCTCGCTCTGGAATTTAATTTCCCTCCCTGCCTCTTCAGTTGCGTCAGTGCCGAGAGAGGCGCCATCCAATGGCAGCTGCTCCAGGGACTCCTAACATTTATCAGTTGATCGGGCTTTCGAGAGTCATGCTGTAGGAGATCCTTTCACCCCCGGCTCCAGTGCCAGCCAGTCATATGGGCGCTGAGGATGGTGGGGGTCGGATGGAGCCATAAGGGCAGGGTGGCAGATGATGGACTCATGATGAAAGTTCCCCCGCTGAGGGGCAAGCTGCTACAGAGCTCATCTCAGCAGAAAACACATGCACAGTATATCTGACTTGTCATACATCACATTTTCCATCTACAAAGGAACTGTGGGAGGTCTGTAGACTGATTTGATTTGTAAAACAGAAAACAGAAATTGTCTAAATGTTCTAAATCAGTGGTTCTCAAACCTGTCCTGGAGTACCCCCAGCCAGGGGCGGACTGGGACAAAAATTCAGCCCTGGCACTATAGCCACACCGGCCCACATTACCACACCGACACAGCCCAACCCATGGACACACGCATTCACTACTTACATTTGTGTACAGATGGTGAAATAATATAAGCAGTACCATATATGTAACAGATATTTAAACATTTAATGTATGTGTCTGGCAAACAATGCTTACTACTTTTTAAAGAG